CACCTGTTACTACTAGCGTGGCACTTGTTCCTACTAGCTTCTTTGTTTAAACTTCGATCTCCGGAAACTGCCCACAATTAGTGTGGGCAGTTTGTCGGAATTTCCGACCCCACGTAGATCGACTGTGATCAACATGTCATTTAATTGCCGATAATAAGTATATATGTGTTTTCTTGCGGAGCAGTTCAACCATCTCAAAGACGTGCAGATGAGAAATAAGAAGGATGATGATAGTGATTTTTCCAGTTATTGTGTTTAGCAGCCAGTATCTAACATATTCCGCCGTCCCACTTCATCAGATCCTCCTTGTCACACTATCGTTTTTCTCCGCCCAGATTCGTGTGCGGCGGTCAACTGCAGCACACGAGGCAAATCAATCCAATGGTGGAGGTTTTTCACGGAGTTGGTGGTGGGACAGGGTGGCACGTGTGGGAGTAGGAGATTGATTCTTGACGGAAATGACTGGCCATAAAAGTTGGTAACGGCTAGCAACGACGTGGTTTGCGTATGTGTTTGGGTTTTGTTGATATTTCTGGTCTTCAACTTGTATTGAAGTGTCATTATGTCATTCTACCGTGTCCGTTGGTCTCAGCGCAGGCAACCAGGAATCGCACTGTGCTGCTTCCACGCAAGGTGCAAAGAGCGTAGTGGCCAGAATCGGTGATCGTGCCAGTTGGGATGATAGGACTATGCATCATATGGACCTCTACAGACTCTGACGGACCTTAAATCAATTCATCCTACAAAGAGTTTTCTGCCATCATGGAATTCTATTGTTAAACACAACTCTCGGACTTATGAAAGCTGATTGCTGTTTTTGCTGTACCAAAAAAGTGACTGAAAAGGGAAAACATGGTTTTCTCTCCCATTCGTAGCACATCACGGCACTTGAGCCTCTTTGCCCACCAGGGAGCCACTGTCCGGGTGAAGGCCCGGATCAAGCCGGCGACCGTAGAGTTCCCTGGCAATTTGGTCGGTCAAGTCTTGGCAGACACAACTCCAAACGAATTTGCTACGGTAGAAGTTTCGAGTGCTGCCACCCGTTGCTAAGGTATCACTTGGTAGAATCATTTCTTTACTACCCTAAATTAGGCTTGCGGAATGCATGAGCCTATCTAACTCGTTACCAAGAAATGCCTGTACTTCTGATAGTTGGACTAGCTAGGCTGGGGGACATGAGGTTCCAAGGACAAGGGTGCAAACCATTGTTTTGCATGTTTCCCGTGATGGGTGGTGTTTGTTCGGCTTGTTTTTCCTTGAGTGGCCTTGCCTAAACCTGATGTGCGAAGATTTGGGGTTTAGGTTGTGTTGTTGCTGTAGATTCAAGTTTGTGGCGGCAAATTGCGCAGGCCTGTGGTTCATGAGTTCACGATGACTTTGAGAAAGACATACTTTTATGGGAGAAACATGTAAGAGGCAATACGCAGACAAGAATGCTGTTTAGTGGTCGTCTACAACTGTCCCAAAAGTTATACTATTGGACGGCCCTGGTTTGGCATGTTTCACAGTCCGAGCAAAAAGACCTGTGGAAGAGTGATGTTTATGAGTTGGCCCCAATCAAGCGTGAAACAAACAGAAAATAGCGTATAGAAGAAACTCTGCTTCGTATTCTTAAACTGGTGGTCTTTGTTGTGATTAACAAAGGCTCTGTGGTTTGATTTGTAGAGTGTACGGTGCCTAGGTCTAGGTGATGAAGCTCAAACTTGTGACAAGAAATGTCACTACCTGCTTGGTAACCCAGGGAACCCAACACCAGGTTGGGCACCCCTGACAAATCTCAGGACAGGTTATATAAAAGAGTCGGGACATGATTGAGGAGAAATTTGACTGGGTTGGGGCATTGCTACTAGGAACAAGAAGCTACTAGGTTGGAGGCCATTGCTATTAGGAACAAGAAGCTACTAGTAACAAGGGCATCGCTGCTAGTAACAAGGGC